CACCTATATTTTAGCATCCTGTAAAGTTCCTATGGATGGCATCAATCACCATCCTCATGAGCCCAGGGAAGCTAACTGTGTTGTCTGATTTGTTGAAGAAAATAGGAGCAACTCATCCCTTAGTTCTTACTTGTATCTCTGCCGTGCGTCGCCACATAGGACTGATTACTGTTGGCCCCAGTAAACATTATGTAGAAGAACTGCCATTTTGAGGGATGCACTTTCCTACATGCTAATGTTGAGTTTATTTATTGAGTGGCTAAGTCATCAAGGGGAGAACTGCCCGTCTCAGGTGTCTTTCTTTGTAAAATAATGAAGGCTTTTTACTAGGACTTCTTTAATGCTGGGTGTTCTATTTACTGTGTGGGTAGTTTATTAGAAGTTCTGGGCTCTCCAAGCATGATGAGGTGAAAACTTTTATGGGGTCTCAAAGAGTTTTGCCCTTGGGAGAAGACTATGGTGCAGAAATTAGCTCAGCGGTTTTTGCCAAATTTACACTGCTGCCCATAATTTTGCAGTAAACAATGTGGACTCTCTAGTCCTCATGTGAAAATGGATGCTTTGAGACACAGAAGTCACTCAAAAGAGGTGTTTGGTCTGAAAACAAGTATGTCTGGGAGCAGCGTGAATTTTTTTCTTGTTTTCAAGGGATGCTAAGACATTTGAAGAGATTCTTTTCCCCACATGTTGCGGAGGGCCCTGTGCCCTAATGCCTTCAATTCCATGGGTGATGGGCACTGGTTGGAGGACCATCACAGTGAGGACCTTCACTGCAGAAATACTGACCAATTCCATTACAGGGAATGGACTTCATCTAAACCTGCACCGAGAACTTTTTTTGAGGAAAAGACTACAGGAGCGGTCTGTACACAGATCTGAGGGACTCCTGATATGTTTATCTTCTGTTCAGGAGTCATTGTCATTGATTATAATCAAGAGGTTTTGTGGCTTCCTGTAGCTTCTCAGATGTTCCCATCAGAGCCATTGGTGCGCTGGCAGCAAATCTAAGGGTAAAATAAAGTGTGTCTTTAGGCCGGAGATGTGGTTTTTGAGACCCAGTCTACATTCCAGTGGGTTTGGGTGAAAGCTCTTCATTGTTTGTTACATTTTGTGTCAGTGAGATGAGACTCGCCCACAGGGCATAAGAATGTGGATTGAGTGCTCACCGTTTTGGCTCAGTATATATAGGTCATCATCCTGCGGACTCAAGAGTCCCAGGTTCCATTTGGTCAAGGGCATGTACCTTGGCTGTGGGTACATCCCTAGATGGAGTGTGCAGGAGGCAGTTGATCCATGTTCCTAACTCTATCCCTCTCCCTCTCTGTAAAAAATCAATAAAAATATATTGGTGAAAAAAAGAATGTGGATTGAATATAGAGTTGAAAAACATGTTGTTGCAAAATAGATGAATGTATATATTTTTTAAAGAAATATATTTATTGATTTTTTACAGAGAGGAAGGGAGAGAGATGGAGAGTTAGAAATATCCATGAGAAAGAAACATCAATCAGCTGCTTTCCGCACATCTCCCTCTGGGAATGTGCCCGCAACCCAGGTACATGCCCTTGACAGGAATCGAACCTGGGACCTTAAAGTCCGCAGGCCGACACTCTATCCACTGAGCCAAACCGGTTTTGGCATGTCTATTTCTTTCATCTTGAGCCATTTAAGTTACAGTTACTTTGCATTCCTGGAGGGGTCCTCAAACTTTTTAAACAGGGGGCCAGTTCACTGTCCCTCAGACCGTTGGGAGGGCAGGACTACAGCTTAAAAAAAACTATGAACAAATTCCTGTGCACACTGCACATATCTTATTTTGAAGTAAAAAAAGAAAACAGGAACAAATACAATATTTGTATTTGCATGTGGCCCACGGGCCGATGTTTGAGGACCCCTGCTGGAGACAGTCTGGCAGATATATAGGTAGTTTTCCTGTCAGTATTTTTCCCAAGCCTATAAAATATGACTAGAGAGAAAGTTATGAAGAGTTTAAAAGAGGTTTGTTTGAAGTAGTTCAGGGAAGTAAACTTTCTACTGACTAGAGACTCCGTGGTGCAAATGATCTCTGAGGAGTGACAATAGCAGGGAGGAGGGGTAACAAGAATGTAGCCTTGAAAGTAACTTCTCTTGCTCAGCAGTTTGAACAGAGGAGTTGTTGGATTAGAGGAGTCAACAATCTTGGGGTTTAATTGGCAGGTGATTCTCATAAATTGTGGAAGGCCACAGCAAAGATAATAAAGACCTTTTTCTTGTCCTTAATACTACCTCCACCACATTTAGAACCTAAGGCTTCAGTGACCTGAAGAGTGAATACTTCTAGGAGATGAAATAAAGGGACACCAGCAATACGGGAATCATTCTGTTAGAGAGGATGTGAACAATGGCCCAGCAGGAAATAAACTACTCATTGAATTTTCTCCTCAACCCACAGGTTCTAACTCCCCAGTATGGACAAAAATGATGGCACACAGTAAACCACCTAGTCATCTCAGGGAGCCTGACATAGCATAGGCAATCTTGCAAACTCAGAAGCTAAAAGTACCCATATAAGATGCTTTAAAGTTAAAACTTTCCAAGTAAAAGCTATTCACGGGGGTATTTATGTCCTAGTGTGTTCTGTTTTGGGTGTGAGTGTGTGTCTGTGTGTGTGGTTTTTTAATTTTTTGCAAGAGTGAAATTTTACCTTATTGAGCCTGTCGTATTTTTGCATCTGGGATAACATACCTTTGGCTTTTCAGGACATTTCACTTTCACAGACTCCTAAGAGTACAATCTCTGAACACAGAAGATCACAGAGCCCCAATTATTATTGTTATTGTGTTAACTATTAACTGTTACCTATCAGATAAACATAAAAAGGAGTTTATGTCTTTTTTTAACTTTTTATCCAATCCCAGAGATCTTCCTCCTTAGCTCCCATCCCCAATTTATCACCAGTGAATGTCATGTAACCCATTTATGTCTTCTTTAGTCTCCTGTATAAAAAAGGTGCAACCCGCCATTCTCCCAAGCAATTTATTGTTATTCTGCTTCCTGGCATTGTTACCGGCTTGGGTCACATAAACTTTGCAAAATTCTCCACAAGTGTGGATATTTCTTACACCATCACCAGACAATTGACTCATATGAAGGAGGAGAAAGTTACATGAAGGTTATCATCAATTCCATTGATTGAACACAGATTAATAAACACAAATTTAGAGCACACTCAAAACAGCAAGCTAGTGTTTTCCCATAGCATTAAGAGATCAGAAGAAAATTCTCAAGGCTCAGGTGACTATTTTCTGTGTGTGTGTGTGTGTGTGTGTGTGTGTGTGTGTGTGTTTAATCCTCACGTGAGGCTGTACTTTCTTTTTTCCCCTCCTATTCCTTTCCTCTGAGTATCTGTACTTCCATGTCCGTGAATCCACTCCATTCACCACTTTATTTTGTTAATTAGATTTCATATATGAGTCAGATCAAGTGATACTTGTAAATCTCTGACTGACTGATTCACTTGGTATGATGTTTTCCAGGTGCCTCTATGCTGTCTGTAAAGGTAAACATTCTTCTTTTTCGCTGCTGCAGAGATTTCCATGGTGTAAATTTTCCAAAAATTGTTTTTTTAAATTCAGTGAAGAAATGAAAGGGAGAGAGAGAGAGAAACATCAATGATGAGAGAGGATCATTGATTGGCTGCCTCTAGTGCACTCCCTACAGGGAATGAAGCCTGCAACCTGGGCATGTACCCTTGCCCTGAATTAAACCTGGGATATTTCAGTCTACAGGGTGGTGGTCTATCCAATTAGCCAAACTGACTTTGGCTGTATCATAGCATTTTAATCCAGTCTATTGATGGGCAGTTGGGCTGTTTCCACATCTTTGCTATTGTAAATTGTGCTGCTATCAACAGAAGGGAGTATATATTCTATCTTATTGTTTCAGGTTTCTTAGGATATATTCCTAGAAGTGGAATCACTGGATCAATTGGAAGTTCCATACTAAATTTTTTGAGGAAAGTCTACTGATTTTCATAATGGCTGCACCAGTTTGCATTCGCATCAGTAGTGTACTAGCATTCCCTTTTTTCCACATCCTCCCCAGCACTTGTCTTTTGTTCATCTTTTGATGGCAGAAATTGTGAAAGTGGTGAGGTGACAGGTAATTGTTGCTTTAATTTCCATCTCTCTGGTGATCTATGACTTCAAGCATCTTTTAATATATTTCTTGGCCATCTTATCCACACTGCAGCCCAGGCAGATCTGACACTTTGGATAGCATCATAAGCAGATGCCCTTAAGTACAAGCATCTGTGTTGTGACCTTAACTTTGTATAATGGATTCAATGGAGGCAGGTTAAGGCAGTTAGGGACTTGAACAACCTCCTCTAGACACATATGGCCTGAGGGAGACACGTGCCAAAAGTCTTGAATGAAGAAACAATGCCTGCCATTAAGAAACAGCAAGTCCTGAACAAATATATGCAAAACCGCAGCTAAAGAAAGCCCTTCAGGTGCAGGAGAAACAAACTTGCCCCGGAAATCACCTCCCCTGAAGGCGCTAGAGGACCTTAGTGAACTTGGTGAATTCTTGGGCTATTTGCCCCTAAATCCAGTCCTGGATGCAACTGAGAAGATACAGGATCCTGGCCTTGGAGCTTAGAAACTACATTACCCAGAAGGCCACGCATGGAGTGTCATCAGGCCGAGCCAATAGAGGGTCAGAGAAGGCATGTCCCTTTGGCGCTTCTTTAGGGCGGATCGGGAGTCCTTGTGGCTGGATTTCCTCTTCTCAGATTTTGGCTCAGGCGGTGAGGTTTTCCTGGTCGCACACTCCCGAGAAGTAGGCCGGAGAGTGGTGCTCCCTGCCTCACAGCCCATGGTCGGAGTCTCCAGTGGTGCTCACAGCTCCCACGTGGGATTGAAGCTCGGGGTCGCTACACGACACACACCAGGGCCGGGACAGGGACCGCCATTCCTGCAGCGGCTTCTACTCCAGCCCCGCTCAGCCCACAGAGGACAATGGCGGCGCCCCCAATGAGGAGACGGGCTGAGGTGAGTTCGAGTCCCCCAGGCCCTCACCGCCTCCTCACACAGACACCACAGCCTGGGGTGGGCGCCTGTCCCGTCCAGCAGCTCAGTCCCGCGTGGAGGACCGTGAGGAAGGTGGAGGGGAGAGAGGAGTGTTGTGGCTTCTGAGGACACAGCAAGTGCAGGGCAGAGAGGACAGGGGTGACTTGCATCTGAAGGTCCCTGAGGATGTGGCTGTGAGTATTGACGGAAAGATCAGAGGCTGCAGGGAGGACGGCACAGACTCATTCGGGGCTTTTCCGGCTCTGGGTCCATCAGGGGCCTGGGGTGGTCCTGGATGCTGCTGGACTACAAGCTCTCTACACGCCATATGCCAAGTTCATGGGTGAGTCCAGCGAGATCCAGTGGCATTGGAGCAGGAAGGGGGCAGAGCTGAGGGAGTGAACCTGGGGTCTGAACATGGGAAGGGGATAAACATTACCCAGTGGTGTACACGTCCGGAGGGAGTGTGAGCTGATAGTCACCAGGATCTGCTGTGGGGATCTAAACGGGAAGCATAAACCCAGGCTTGGCTTTGTCTTGGAGGCCGGATCTAGGAGACTGCAGTGGTGTTGCTGGAGACGAGAAAGCTGGGGCCCTGCAGGCATCGCCCAGACCTTAAATGGCATTGCCCTCTACCTTCCCTTCCCACCGAATCCTTGTGCTCACCTGAGGGCAATGCAGTGAGTAATGGGACTGTGATGACAGAGCAGCCTGCACTGGCATTAGGGCCTGGAGTCCACACTTCCCAGGGGCCCTGGAGGAGGATGAGGCTGGGGAAGATGTGTAAGCACTAGAATTATTGGTTCTCAGAGAGACAGATCTGGTTTCAATTTTCTCAATTCTGACAGGTTGGGGTCACCTTTGAGGACATTGCCCTGTACTTCTCCAGGGAGGAATGGAGCCTCCTTGATGAGGGTCAGAGACAGCTGTACCTGAACGTGATGTTGGAGAACTTTCAACTTCTGTCCTCCCTGGGTAAGACCCTCACTGTCACCAGTGACCTTGACTTGGCAAATCGGTTCCAGCAGTACATCAGAAATATCATACACCATGACCAATAGGATTTATGCCAGGGATGCAAGGATGGTACAATATCTGCAAATCGATAAAGGTGATACATGACATAAACAAACTGAGAGATGAAAACCACATAGTCATATCAATTGATGCAGAAAAAGCATATGACAAAATCCAACACCCATTTTTGATAAAAACTCTTAGCAAGGTGGGAATAGAAGGATTACACCTCAACATAATAAAAGCCATATATGACAAAGCCACAGCCAACATCATACTCAATGGGCAAAAACTAAAACCATTTCCCTTAAGTACACGAACAAGACAGGGATGCCAACTCTCACCATTCCTGTTCGACATAGTACTGGAAGTATTAGCCATTGCGATTAGACAAGAAGAAGAAATAAAAGGCATCCAAATTGGAAAAGAAGAAATAAAACTGTCCTTATGCGCAGATGACATGATATTGCACATGATAAAATAACCCTAAAGACTCCATCAAAAAACTATTAGATGTAATAAATGAATTGCTCAATGTAGCAGGATGCAAAATTAATGCCAAGAAATCTTTGCATTTCTATATACCAATAATGAACTTACAGAAAGAGAGACTAAAAAAGCAATCCCATTACCATCACAACAAAAAATTGAAATTCTTATTTATATATTTGTTATTGCTTTCAGATAGAGAGGAAGGTAGATGGAGAGAGAGAGAGAGAGAGAGAGAGAGAGAAACATCAGAGTGAGGGAGAAACATCAATTGGCTGCCTTCTGTACACAAGCTAACTGAAAATGGAACCCACATACTGATATGTGCCTTGACTGGGAATTGAATCCTTGACCATTTAGTACTCAGGACGAAGCTCCAACAAATTGAGCCAAACTGGCAAAGGCATTCTGTGGTGTTTTTTTTTTTTTAAATATATTTTATTGATTTTTTACAGAGAGGAAGGGAGAGAGACAGAGAGTTAGAAACATCAATGAGAGAGAAACATCGATCAGCTGCCTCCTGCACATCTCCTACTGGGGATGTGCCCGCAACCCAGGTACATGCCCTTGACCGGAATCAAACCTGGGACCTTTCAGTCCGCAGGACGATGCTCCAACCAATTGAGCCATACTGGCCAAGGCATTCTGTGGTTTTTAAACACACAAATTTCCAGGTTTTGTTGTAGAACAGGCCACTAGGATCAATGATAGCAGGAGCACAGTGGCTGCTAGAGGTAACTCTGACCCTTGTTTTTGACTGTAGGTATCTTCAAATATATTTGTTCACCCAGTCTTTCCAGTCATCCTTTCTGTACAGTTCTCCTCTATGTGTGTCTGTAATACTGTTTGTCTTCATGGTACTCTTATTCCCATTTCCTATGGGGTTTTTGTACATGGAAAGCTGTCTACTTGCACTGGGAAGGGGGAAGAAGCTCATCTCTCTGAGCCTGGCACTTAGTGATGTCACTCACATAGGTCTTTTGACTGTGACGTCATTTGTCCTTTGTTGATGACAGTGTTGACCATCCAACTTTTCTCTTTTTTTAACGATTTGTATCATTTATCTCATGCAATGGCTCAAATGGGATTGAAGGGGAAGAATCATTTGTACATCACAAAGAAAGAAGACTTTATGAATGACACAGTGGAACTCCCGGCGATCATTCTTTGGGGAAGGGTCATTGGGGAGGAATTCAGGACAGGCCTTTGTTAAATTCATACCTAGAAAGCCAGTGTTTTGTTACAGTTGCCCAGTCCTCACCCGATTATGCTTCTTTGTTCTTATTGTTGATACTTTGCCAACTATTCAGTTCTCATTTTGATCATTTCTACTTAGATTCCCAGCTCATGGATAACCTTAACCTCCTTGGACTTTGCACCTCTGCCCCTTTAACAGGTCTCTCTTTACTGCAAGCCAACGTTGGTCCATGCCTGCAGCACCTTGGAGAGCACAGTTGTTATTATATTGAAGTTCTATATCCTGTGATCTAATATACTTAATTTTTATGGCTTTGAGCAGCTTTAAATTATTCCACACAGACTCACATGGTCAGAACGTAAGGGCCCAGAGCAATGGTTCTCAACCTTGGCTGTACTTTAGAATCACCTGGGAATCTTTTTAAAATCCTGATTACTGGGCCTCATCCTCCGGAAATTCTGATTCTTTGGTATGGGGTGGGGCCACAACATTAGTAACAAAGAAATAGAATATCCGGAGGATGAGGCCCAGTATTAAGGATTTTAAAACGATTCTCAGACGATTCTAATGTGCAGCCAAGGTTGAGCACCACTGTCCTAGAGGAAGCTGTTTGTGCAAGAACAATGAGTAGAGGCATCCTCTCTTCTTTGGATGTACTCCTGTGCTTCTTCCTTCTCTTGATGGGATTTCCATCATCGACTAACTTTCGGGGCCACATTACTTACAACAGCAGTCTCTTCAGTGTCTAACTCACTCATCTTAAAAGTCTTTCTGTGGAATCATGCCTAGTCATGACAGATAAACAATCGTGGTGAAGATATTTTGTTTTCATAACATCAACATATACCTCACCAGCATTTCCTTTTATACAGGTTGCTGTTGTGGAGCAGAGAATGTGGAGGTACCGACGGAACAGAAGATTTCTGTAGGAATGTCACAAGCAGGGAATCCCAAGGTAGCCTTGTCTTCCCAGAAGAACCACCCCTGTGAGAGTTGTGGAATAGTCTTGGGTAATATTTTCCATGTGATAGAGTTGCAGGGAACACAACACAGACAGATACTGTTGAGGTGTGGGGCATGTGCAAGATGGTTTTGCTTCAGTGTAAAATTTCACCAGCAGCATGTGAGAGAGAAGACTTTCATTAGAGGTGTGGACAGGATCTCACTTGCAAACAGCTGCAATTTCAATGTGTTCCAGAATCCTTTCAGTTGCGGGGAGGTTGGGCAGGGTGTCCTTACCGAATCAGGACATCTCCACCGAAATGTTCCTCAGTCCAAAAACAGTCCAAGGAGCACTGGTCTCCAATATCATCAGGGAGTTCACATAGGAGAAAAGCCTTATCAATGCAGTGAATGTAGGAAATCTTTTGCCACTAACAGTCACCTCTGTAGTCATCAGAGAGTTCACACTGGAGAAAAGCCTTATCAATGCAGTGAATGTGGGAAATCCTTTACCTTCAAAGCTGGTCTCTTTTATCATCAGAAGGTTCACAAAGGAGAAAAGCCTTATAAATATAGTGAATGTGAAAAGTCTTTTACAAATAGCACTCATCCCAAATATCATCAGATAGTTCACACAGGAGAAAATCCTTATAAATGCAGTGAATGTGGAAAGTCTTACCAGTCACTCTGGTCTCCAACATCATCACAGAGTTCACACAGGAGAAAAGCCTTTTCAATGCAGTGAATGTGGAAAATCTTTTACCTGCAACAGTAATCTTCGTCGTCATCACATAGTTCATACAGGAGAAAAGCCTCATAAATGCAGTGAATGTGGAAAGTCTTTTTCCCGTCGCCTTGGTCTCCAATATCATCAGAGAGTTCATACAGGAGAAAAACCTTATAAATGCAGTGAATGTGGAAAGTCTTTTTCCCGTTGCTCTGGACTCCAATATCATCAGAGAGTTCACACAGGAGAAAAGCTTTTCAATGCAGTGAATGTGGGAAATCTTTTACCGGGAACAGTGATCTTCGCCGTCATCAGAGAGTTCATACAGGAGGAAAGCCTTATAAATGCAGTGAATGTGGAAAGTCTTTTTCCAGTCGCCCTGGTCTCCAATATCATCAGGGTTCACACAGGAGAAAAACCTTATAAATGCAGTGAATGTGGGAAATCTTTAAAAAGTAGGAAAGGTCTTCAATATCACAGAGCTCACACAGGAGAAAGCCATTAGGAGTGCAATTAATGTGAGATATTTCTCAGTCTAATTTGTAAATTAGCTTTCCGAAAGAGTCTGGATGTGATAAGGTTTTTAGATGTGTAGGAAATGTAGTTTGTTACTTAGGACTTAACAATTGAATAAGAAAATAAGTAAGGTCTCATTATTCTGAATTATATTTCATCCATTTGATCACCTACATTATGTAATGTCCCCACAACTGTTTCTAGTGTTCTGTTTCTTTTTATGTTGGAAGTATAGATATCTATGTTGCACTTTCTAACATACAGAGATATCCTGCCATATCTATGTCACTGCATATTTCTGTTGCTGAAGGTATTTCCCCTGATCCACCTATATTTTAGCATCCTGTAAAGTTCCTATGGATGGCATCAATCACCATCCTCATGAGCCCAGGGAAGCTAACTGTGTTGTCTGATTTGTTGAAGAAAATAGGAGCAACTCATCCCTTTGTTCTTACTTGTATCTCTGCCATGCGTCGCCACATAGGACTGATTACTGTTGGCCCCAGTAAACATTATGTAGAAGAACTGCCATTTTGAGGGATGCACTTTCCTACATGCTAATGTTGAGTTTATTTATTGAGTGGCTAAGTCATCAAGGGGAGAACTGCCCGTCTCAGGTGTCTTTCTTTGTAAAATAATGAAGGCTTTTTACTAGGACTTCTTTAATGCTGGGTGTTCTATTTACTGTGTGGGTAGTTTATTAGAAGTTCTGGGCTCTCCAAGCATGATGAGGTGAAAACTTTTATGGGGTCTCAAACAGTTTTGCCCTTGGGAGAAGACTATGGTGCAGAAATTAGCTCAGCGGTTTTTGCCAAATTTACACTGCTGCCCATAATTTTGCAGTAAACAATGTGGACTCTCTAGTCCTCATGTGAAAATGGATGCTTTGAGACACAGAAGTCACTCAAAAGAGGTGGAAGGTCTGAAAAACTCAAGTATGTCTGGGAGCAGCGTGAATTTTTTTCTTGTTTTCAAGGGATGCTAAGACATTTGAAGAGATTCTTTTCCCCACATGTTGCGGAGGGCCCTGTGCCCTAATGCCTTCAATTCCATGGGTGATGGGCACTGGTTGGAGGACCATCACAGTGAGGACCTTCACTGCAGAAATACTGACCAATTCCATTACAGGGAATGGACTTCATCTAAACCTGCACCGAGAACTTTTTTTGAGGAAAAGACTACAGGAGCGGTCTGTACACAGATCTGAGGGACTCCTGATATGTTTATCTTCTGTTCAGGAGTCATTGTCATTGATTATAATCAAGAGGTTTTGTGGCTTCCTGTAGCTTCTCAGATGTTCCCATCAGAGCCATTGGTGCGCTGGCAGCAAATCTAAGGGTAAAATAAAGTGTGTCTTTAGGCCGGAGATGTGGTTTTTGAGACCCAGTCTACATTCCAGTGGGTTTGGGTGAAAGCTCTTCATTGTTTGTTACATTTTGTGTCAGTGAGATGAGACTCGCCCACAGGGCATAAGAATGTGGATTGAGTGCTAATCGTTTTGGCTCAGTATATATAGGTCGTCATCCTGTGGACTCAAGAGTCCCAGGTTCCATTTGGTCAAGGGCATGTACCTTGGCTGTGGGTACATCCCTAGATGGAGTGTGCAGGAGGCAGCTGATCCATGTTCCTAACTCTATCCCTCTCCCTCTCTGTAAAAAATCAAAAAAATATATTGGTGAAAAAAAGAATGTGGATTGAATATAGAGTTGAAAAACATGTTGTTGCAAAATAGATGAATGTATATATTTTTTAAAGAAATATATTTATTGATTTTTTACAGAGAGGAAGGGAGAGAGATGGAGAGTTAGAAACATCGATGAGAAAGAAACATCAATCAGCTGCTTTCCGCACATCTCCCACTGGGAATGTGCCCGCAACCCAGGTACATGCCCTTGACCAGAATCGAACCTGGGACCTTAAAGTCCCCAGGCTGACGCTCTATCCACTGAGCCAAACCGGTTTTGGCATGTCTATTTCTTTCATCTTGAGCCATTTAAGTTACAGTTACTTTGCATTCCTGGAGGGGTCCTCAAACTTTTTAAACAGAGGGCCAGTTCACTGTCCCTCAGACCGTTGGGAGGGCCGGACTATAGCTTAAAAAAAAACTATGAACAAATTCCTGTGCACACTGCACATATCTTATTTTGAAGTAAAAAAAGAAAACAGGAACAAATACAATATTTGTCTTTGCATGTGGCCCGAGGGCCGTAGTTTGAGGACCCAGCTGGAGACAGTCTGGCAGATATATAGGTAGTTTTCCTGTCAGTATTTTTCCCAAGCCTATAAAATATGACTAGAGAGAAAGTTATGAAGAGTTTAAAAGAGGTTTGTTTGAAGTAGTTCAGGGAAGTAAACTTTCTACTGACTAGAGACTCCGTGGTGCAAATGATCTCTGAGGAGTGACAATAGCAGGGAGGAGGGGTAACAAGAATGTAGCCTTGAAAGTAACTTCTCTTGCTCAGCAGTTTGAACAGAGGAGTTGTTGGATCAGAGGAGTCAACAATCTTGGGGTTTAATTGGCAGGTGATTCTCATAAATTGTGGAAGGCCACAGCAAAGATAATATAGATCTTTTTCTTGTCCTTAATACTACCTCCACCACATTTAGAACCTAAGGCTTCAGTGACCTGAAGAGTGAATACTTCTAGGAGATGAAATAAAGGGACACCAGCAATACGGGGATCATTCTGTTAGAGAGGATGTGAACAATGGGTCCAGCAGGAAATAAACTACTTGGGGTTTAATTAGCAGGTGCTTCTCATAAATTGTGGAAGGCCACAGCCAAGAAACATACCTTTTTCTTGTCCTTACGAATACCTCCACCACATTTAGAACCTAAGACTTTATGGACCTGAAGAATGACTACTTGTAGCTGACCAAATAAAGGCACACCATCAATACTGGGCCATTGGGTTTAGGAGGACATCTGAAATGGGTCCCTGAGTGTATAAACCACTCATTGAATTTTCTCCTCAACCCACAGGTTCTAACTCCCCAGTATGGACAAAAATGATGGCACACAGTAAACCTAGTAGTATCAGGGAGCCTGACATAGCATAGGCAATCTTGCAAACTCAGAAGCTAAAAGTACCCATATAAGATGCTTTAAAGTTAAAACTTTCCAAGTAAAAGCTATTCACGGGGGTATTTATGTCCTAGTCTGTTTTGTTATTGTTGTTTTTGTTGATGTTGTGTGTGTGTGTGTGTGTGTGTGTGGTTTTTTAATTTTTTGCAAGAGTCAAATTTTACCTTATTGAGCCTGTCTGTTGTCTTTTTGCATCTGAGATAACATACCTTTGGGTTTTCAGGGACATTTCACTTTCACAGAAGATCACAGAGCCCCAATTATTATTGTTATTGTATTAAATATTAACTGTTACCTATCAGATAAACATAAAAAGGAGTTTATGTCTTTTTTTAACTTTTTATCCAATCCCAGAGATCTTCCTCCTTAGCTCCCATCCCTAATTTATCACCAGTGAATGTCATGTAACCCATTTATGTCTTCTTTAGTCTCCTGTATAAAAAAGGTGCAAAACTGCCATTCTCCCAAGCAATTTATTGTTATTCTGCTTCCTGGCATTGTTACCGGCTTGGGTCACATAAACTTTGCAAAATTCTCCACAAGTGTGGCTATTTCTTACAACATCACCAAAGACAATTGACTCATGTGAAGGAGGAGAAAGTTACATGAAGGTTATCATCAATTCCAGAGACTCAACTGATTGAACACAGATTAATAAACACAAATTTAGAGCACACTCAAAACACAGCAAGCTAGTGTTTTCCCATAGCATTAAGAGATCAGAAGAAAATCTCAAGGCTCAGGTGACTGTTTTCTGTGTGTGTGTGTGTGTGTGTGTGTGTGTGTGGGTGTGTGTGTGTGTGTGTGTGTTTAATCCTCACGTGAGGCTGCTCTTTCTTTCTTTTTTCCCCTCCTATTCCTTTCTTCTGAGTATCTGTACTTCCATGTCCGTGAATCCACTCCATTCACTACTTTATTTTGTTAATTAGATTTCATATATGAGTCAGATCAAGTGATACTTGTAATTCTCTGACTGACTGATTCACTTGGTATGATGTTTTCCAGGTGCCTCTATGCTGTCTGTAAAGGTAAACATTCTTCTTTTTTGCTGCTGCAGAGATTTCCATGGTGTAAATTTTCCAAAAATTGTTTTTTTTAAATTCAGTGAAGAAATGAAAGGGAGAGAGAGAGAGAGAGAGAAACATCAATGATGAGAGAGGTTCATTGATTGGCTGCCTCTAGTGCACTTCCTACTGGGAATGAAGCCTGCAACCTGGTCATGTACCCTTGCCCTGAATTAACCCTGGGATCCTTCAGTCTGCAGGGTGACGCTCTATCCAATTAGCCAAACTGACTTTGGCTGTATCATAGCATTTTAATCCAGTCATCTATTGATGGGCACTTGGGCTGTTTCCCCATCTTTGCTATTGTAAATTGTGCTGCTATCAACAGAAGGGAGTATATATTCTATCTTATTGTTTCAGGTTTCTTAGGATATATTCCTAGAAGTGGAATCACTGGATCAATTGGAAGTTCCATACTAAATTTTTTGAGGAAAGTCTACTGATTTTCATAATGACTGCACCAGTTTGCATTCGCATCAGCAGTGTACTAGGGTTCCCTTTTTTCCACATCCTCCCCAGCACTTGTCTTTTGTTCATCTGTTGATGGCAGAAATTGTGAAAGTGGTGAGGTGACAGGTAATTGTTGCTTTAATTTCCATCTCTCTGGTGATCTGTGACTTTAAGCATCTTTAAATATATTTCTTGGCCATCTTATCCACACTGCAGCCCAGGCAGATCTGACACTTTGGATAGCATCAGAAGCAGATGCCCTTCAGTACAAGCATCTGTGTTGTGACCTTAACTTTGTATAATGGATTCAATGGAGGCAGGTTAAGGCAGTTAGGGACTTGAACAACCTCCTCTAGACACATATGGCCTGAGGGAGACACGTGCCAAAAGTCTTGAATGAAGAAACAATGCCTGCCATTAAGAAACAGCAAGTCCTGAACAAATATATGCAAAACCGCAGCTAAAGAAAGCCCTTCAGGTGCAGGAGAAACAAACTTGCCCCGGAAATCACCTCCCCTGAAGGCGCTAGAGGACCTTAGTGTACTTGGTGTGTTCTTGGGCTATTTGCCCCTAAATCCAGTCCTGGATGCAACTGAGAAGATACAGGATCCTGGCCTTGGAGCTTAGAAACTACATTACCCAGAAGGCCACGCATGGAGTGTCATCAGGCCGAGCCAATAGAGGGTCAGAGAAGGCATGTCCGTTTGGCGCTTCTTTAGGGCGGATCAGGAGTCCTTGTGGCTGGATTTCCTCTTCTCAGATTTTGGCTCAGGCTGTGAGGTTTTCCTGGTCGCACACTCCCGAGAAGTAGGCCGGAGAGTGGTGCTCCCTGCCTCACAGCCCATGGTCGGAGTCTCCACTGGTGCTCACAGCTCCCACGTGGGATTGAAGTTCGGAGTCGCTACACGACACACACCAGGGCCGGGACAGGGACCGCCATTCCTGCAGCGGCTTCTACTCCAGCCCCGCTCCGCCCATAGAGGACAATGGCGGCGCCCCCACTGAGGAGACGGGCTGAGGTGAGTTCGAGTCCCCCAGGCCCTCACCGCCACCTCACACAGACACCACAGCCTGGGGTGGGCCCCTGTCCCGTCCTGCAGCTCAGTCCCGCGTGGAGGACCGTGAGGAAGGTGGAGGGGAGAGAGTAGTGTTGTGGCTTCTGAGGACACAGCAAGTGCAGGGCAGAGAGGACGGGGGTGACTTGCATCTGAAGGTCCCTGAGGATGTGGCTGTGAGTATTGACGGAAAGATCAGAGGCTGCAGGGAGGACGGCACAGACTCATTCGGGGCTTTTCCGGCTCTGGGTCCATCAGGGGCCTGGGGTGGTCCTGGATGCTGCTGGACTACAAGCTCTCTACACGCCATATGCCAAGTTCATGGGTGAGTCCAGCGAGATCCAGTGGCATTGGAGCCGGAAGGGGCAGAGCAGAGGGAGTGAACCTGGGGTCTGAACATGGGAAGGGGGTAAACATTACCCAGTGGTGTACACGTCCGGAGGGAGTGTGAGCTGATAGTCACCAGGATCTGCTGTGGGGATCTAAACGGGAAGCATAAACCCAGGCTTGGCTTTGTCTTGGAGGCCGGATCTAGGAGACTGCAGTGGTGTTGCTGGAGACGAGAAAGCTGGGGCCCTGCAGGCATCGCCCAGACCTTAAATGGCATTGCCCTCTACCTTCCCTTCCCACCGAATCCTTGTGCTCACCTGAGGGCAATGCAGTGAGTAATGGGACTGTGATGAGAGAGCAGCCTGCACTGGCATTAGGGCCTGGTGTCCACACTTCCCAGGGGCCCTGGAGGAGGATGAGGCTGGGGAAGATGTGTAAGCACTAGAATTATTGGTTCTCAGAGAGACAGATCTGGTTTCAATTTTCTCAATTCTGACAGGTTGGGGTCATCTTTGAGGACATTGCCCTGTACTTCTCCAGGGAGGAATGGAGTCTCCTTGATGAGGGTCAGAGACAGCTGTACCTGAATGTGATGCTGGAGAACGTTCAACTTCTGTCCTCCCTGGGTAAGACCCTCACTGTCACCAGTGACCTTGACTTGGCAAATCGGTTCCAGCAGTACATCAGAAATATCATACACCATGACCAATAGTATTTATCCCAGGGATGCAAGGATGGTACAATATCTGCAAATCGATAAACGTGATACATGACATAAACAAACTGAGAGATGAAAACCACATAGTCATATCAATTGATGCAGAAAAAGCATATGACAAAATCCAACACCCATTTTTGATAAAAACTCTTAGGAAGGTGGGAATAGAAGGATTACACCTCAACATAATAAAAGCCATATATGACAAAGCCACAGCCAACATCATACTCAATGGGCAAAAACTAAAACCATTTCCCTTAAGTACACGAACAAGACAGGGATGCCAACTCTCACCATTCCTGTTCGACATAGTACTGGAAGTATTAGCCATTGCGATTAGACAAGAAGAAGAAATAAAAGGCATCCAAATTGGAAAAGAAGAAATAAAACTGTCCTTATGCGCAGATGACATGATATTGCACATGATAAAATAACCCTAAAGACTCCATCAAGAAACTATTAGATGTAATAAATGAATTGCTCAATGTAACAGGATGCAAAATTAATGCCAAGAAATCTTTGCATTTCTATATACCAATAATGAACTTACAGAAAGAGAGACTAAAAAAGCAATCCCATTACCATCACTCCAAAAAATTGAAATTCTTATTTATATATTTGTTATTGCTTTCAGATAGAGAGGAAGGTAGATGGCGAGAGACAGATAGCGAGGAAGGTAGATGGCGAGAGAGAGAGGGAGAGAGAGAGAGAGAGAGAAACATCAGAGTGAGGGAGAAACATCAATTGGCTGCCTTCTGTACACAAGCTAACTGGAAATGGAACCCACATACTGATATGTGCCTTGACTGGGAATTGAATCCTTGACCATTTGGTACTCAGGACGATGCTCCAACCAATTGAGCCATACTGGCCAAGGCATTCTGTGGTTTTTAAACACACAAATTTCCAGGTTTTGTTGTAGAACAGGCCACTAGGATCAATGATAGCAGGAGCACAGTGGCTGCTAGAGGTAACTCTGACCCTTGTTTTTGACTGTAGGTATCTTCAAATATAGTTGTTCACCCAGTCTTTCCAGTCATCCTTTCTGTACAGTTCTCCTCTATGTGTGTCTGTAATACTGTTTGTCTTCATGGTACTCTTATTCCCATTTCCTATGGGGTTTTTGTTCATGGAAACTGTCTACTTGCACTGGGAAGGGGGAAGAAGCTCATCTCTCTGAGCCTGCCACTTAGTGATGTCACTCACATACATATTTGACTGTGACGTCATTTGTCCTTTGTTGATGACTGTGTTGACCATCCAACTTTTCTCATTTTTTGACGATTTGCATCATTTATCCCATGCAATGGCTCAAGTGGGATTGAAGGGGAAGAATCATTTGTGCATCACAGAAGAAAGATGTCTTTATGAATGACACAGTGGAACCCCCGGCAGTCATTCTTTGGGGAATGGTCATTGGGGAGGAATTCAGGACAGGCCTTTGTTAAATTCATACCTAGAAAGCCAGTGTTTTGTTACAGTTGCCCAGTCCTCACCCGATTATGCTTCTTTGTTCTTATTGTTGATACTTTGCCAACTATTCAGTTCTCAATTTGATCATTTCTACTTAGATTCCCAGCTCATGGATAACCTTAACCTCCTTGGACTTTGCACCTCTGCCCCTTTAACAGGTCTCTCTTTACTGCAAGCCAACATTGGTCCATGCCTGCAGCACCTTGGAGAGCACAGTTGTTATTATATTGAAGTTCTATATCCTGTGATCTAATACAATTAATTTTTATGGCTTTGAGCAGCTTTAAATTATTCCACACAGACTCACATGGTCAGAACGTAAGGGCCCAGAGCAGTGGTTCCCAACCTTGGCTGCACATTAGAATCACCTGGGAATCTTTTTAAAATCCTGATTTCTGGGCCTCATCCTCCGGAAATTCTGATTCTTTGTTATGGGGTGGGGCCACAACATTAGTAACAAAGAAATAGAATATCTGGAGGATGAGGCCCAGTATTAAGGATTTTAAAACGATTCTCAGGCGATTGTAATGTGCAGCCAAGGTTGAGAACCACTGTCCTAGAGGAAACTGTTTGTGCAAGAACAATGAGTAGAGGCATCCTCTCTTTGGATGTACTCCTGTGCTTCTGTCCTTCTCTTGATGAGATTTCCATCATCGACTAACTTTCGCGGCCACATTACTTACAACAGCAGTTTCTTCAGTGTCTAACTCACTCATCTTGAAAGTCATTCTGTGGAATCATGCCTAGTCATGACAGATAAACAATCGTGGTGAAGATATTTTGTTTTCATAAGATCAACATATACCTCACCAGCATTTCCTTTTATACAGGTTGCTGTTGTGGAGCAGAGAATGTGGAGGTACCGACGGAACAGAAGGTTTCTGTAGGAATGTCACAAGCAAGGAATCCCAAGGTAGCCTTGTTTTCCCAGAAGAACCACCCCTGTGAGAGTTGTGAAATAGTCTTGGGAAATATTTTCCACGTGATAGAGTTTCAGGGAACACAACATAGACAGATACTGTTGAGGTGTGGGGCATGTGCAAAATGGTTTTACTTCAGTGTAAAATTTCACCAATGGCATGTGAGAGAGAAGACTTTCATTAGAGGTGTGGACAGGATCTCACTTGCAAACAGCTGCAATTTCAATGTGTTCCAGAATCCTTTCAGTTGCGGGGAGGTTGGGCAGGGTGTTCTTACCGAATCAGGACATCTCCACCTAAATGTTCCTCAGACCAAAAACAGTCCAAGGAGCACTGGTCTCCAATATCATCAGGGAGTTCACACAGGAGAAAAGCCTTTTCAATGCAGTGAATGTGGAAAGTCTTTTACCAGTCACTCTGGTCTCCAAAATCATCACAGAGTTCACACAGGAGAAAAACCTTTTCACTGCAGTGAATGTGGAAAATCTTTTACCTGGAACAGTTATCTTCGTCGTCATCAGATAGTTCATACAGGAGAAAAGCCTCATAAATGCAGTGAATGTGGAAAGTCTTTTTCCCGTTGCTCTGGACTCCAATATCATCAGAGAGTTCACACAGGAGAAAAGCCTTTTCACTGCAGTGAATGTGGAAAATCTTTTACCAGGAACAGTGATCTTCGTCGTCATCAGAGAGTTCATGCAGGAGAAAAGCCTCATAAATGCAGTGAATGTGGAAAGTGTTTTGCCAGTCAGTCTGGTCTCCAATATCATCAGAGAGTTCACCCAGTAGAAAAGCCTTTTCAATGCAGTGAATGTGGAAAATCTTTTACCAGGAACAGTGATCTTCGTCGTCATCAGAGAGTTCATGCAGGAGAAAAGCCTCATAAATGCAGTGAATGTGGAAAGTGTTTTGCCAGTCAGTCTGGTCTCCAATATCATCAGAGAGTTCACACAGGAGAAAAGCCTTTTCAATGCAGTGAATGTGGGAAATCTTTTACGGGGAACAGTGATCTTCGCCGTCATCAGAGAGTTCATACAGGAGAAAAGCCTTATAAATGCAGTGAATGTGGGAAATCTTTTTCCCGTCGCCCTCGTCTCCAATATCATCAGAGAGTTCATACAGGAGAAAAACCTTATACATGCAGTGAATGTGGAAAGTCTTTTTCCCGTTGCTCTCAACTCCAATATCATCAGAGAGTTCACACAGGAGAAAAGCCTTTTCAATGCAGTGAATGTGGGAAATCTTTTAAAAGTAGGAAAGGTCTTCAATATCACAGAGCTCACACTGGAGAAAGCCATTATGAGTGCAATTAATGTGAGATATTTCTCAGTCTAATTTGTAAATTAGCTTTCCGGAAAGAGTCTGGATGTGATAAGGTTTTTAGATGTGTAGGAAATGTAGTTTGTTACTTAGGACTTAACAATTGAATAAGAAAATAAGTAAGGTCTCATTATTCTGAATTATATTTCATCCATTTGATCACCTACATTATGTAATGTCCCCACAACTGTTTCTAGTGTTCTGTTTCTTTTTATGTTGGAAGTATAGATATCTATGTTGCGCTTTCTAACATACAGAGATATCCTGCCATATCTATGTCACTGCATATTTCTGTTGCTGAAGGTATTTCCCCTGATCCACCTATATTTTAGCATCCTGTAAAGTTCCTATGGATGGCATCAATCACCATCCTCATGAGCCCAGGGAAGCTAACTGTGTTGTCTGATTTGTTGAAGAAAATAGGAGCAACTCATCCCTTAGTTCTTACTTGTATCTCTGCCGTGCGTCGCCACATAGGACTGATTACTGTTGGCCCCAGTAAACATTATGTAGAAGAACTGCCATTTTGAGGGATGCACTTTCCTACATGCTAATGTTGAGTTTATTTATTGAGTGGCTAAGTCATCAAGGGGAGAACTGCCCGTCTCAGGTGTCTTTCTTTGTAAAATAATGAAGGCTTTTTACTAGGACTTCTTTAATGCTGGGTGTTCTATTTACTGTGTGGGTAGTTTATTAGAAGTTCTGGGCTCTCCAAGCATGATGAGGTGAAAACTTTTATGGGGTCTCAAAGAGTTTTGCCCTTGGGAGAAGACTATGGTGCAGAAATTAGCTCAGCGGTTTTTGCCAAATTTACACTGCTGCCCATAATTTTGCAGTAAACAATGTGGACTCTCTAGTCCTCATGTGAAAATGGATGCTTTGAGACACAGAAGTCACTCAAAAGAGGTGGAAGGTCTGAAAAACTCAAGTATGTCTGGGAGCAGCGTGAATTTTTTTCTTGTTTTCAAGGGATGCTAAGACATTTGAAGAGATTCTTTTCCCCACATGTTGCGGAGGGCCCTGTGCCCTAATGCCTTCAATTCCATGGGTGATGGGCACTGGTTGGAGGACCATCACAGTGAGGACCTTCACTGCAGAAATACTGACCAATTCCATTACAGGGAATGGACTTCATCTAAACCTGCACCGAGAACTTTTTTTGAGGAAAAGACTACAGGAGCGGTCTGTACACAGATCTGAGGGACTCCTGATATGTTTATCTTCTGTTCAGGAGTCATTGTCATTGATTATAATCAAGAGGTTTTGTGGCTTCCTGTAGCTTCTCAGATGTTCCCATCAGAGCCATTGGTGCGCTGGCAGCAAATCTAAGGGTAAAATAAAGTGTGTCTTTAGGCCGGAGATGTGGTTTTTGAGACCCAGTCTACATTCCAGTGGGTTTGGGTGAAAGCTCTTCATTGTTTGTTACATTTTGTGTCAGTGAGATGAGACTCGCCCACAGGGCATAAGAATGTGGATTGAGTGCTAATCGTTTTGGCTCAGTATATATAAGTCGTCATCCTGTGGACTCAAGAGTCCCAGGTTCCATTTGGTCAAGGGCATGTACCTTGGCTGTGGGTACATCCCTAGATGGAGTGTGCAGGAGGCAGCTGATCCATGTTCCTAATTCTATCCCTCTCCCTCCCTCTCTGTAAAAAATCAATAAAAATATATTGGTGAAAAAAAGAATGTGGATTGAATATAGAGTTGAAAAAGATGTTGTTCCAATATAGGTGAATGTATATATTTTTGTGAAATATATATTTTATTGATTTTTTACAGAGAGGAAGGGAGAGAGATAGAGAGTTAGAAACATCGATGAGAGAGAAACATCAATCAGCTGCCTGCTGTACACTCCCCACTGGGAATGTGCCCACAACCCAGGTACATGCCCTTGACAGGAATCGAACCTGGGACCTTAAAGTCTGTAGGCCGATGCTATCCACTGAGCCAAACTGGTTTTGGCATGTATATTTCTTTCATCTTGAGCCATTTAAGTTACAGTTACTTTGCATTCCTGGAGGGGTCCTCAAACTTTTTAAACAGGGTGCCAGTTCACTGTCCCTCAGACCGTTGGGAGGGCCGGACTATAGTTTAAAAAAAACTATGAACAGATTCCTATGCACACTGCATATATCTTATTTTGAAGTAAAAAAAGAAAACAGGAACAAATACAATATTTGTATTTGCATGTGGCCCACGGGCCGTAGTTTGAGGACCCCTGCTGGAGACAGTCTGGCAGATATATAGGTAGTTTTCCTGTCAGTATTTTTCCCAAGCCTATAAAATATGACTAGAGAGAAAGTTATGAAGAGTTTAAAAGAGGTTTGTTTGAAGTAGTTCAGGGAAGTAAACTTTCTACTGACTAGAGACTCTGTGGTACAAATTATGTCTGAGGTGTGACAACAGCAGGGAGGAGGGGTAGCAAGAATGTAGCCTTGAAAGTAACTTCTCTTGTTCAGCAGTTTGAACAGAGGAGTTGTTGGATTAGAGGAGTCAACAATCTTGGGGATTAATTGGCAGGTGCTTCTCATAAATTGTGGAAGGCCACAGCAAAGATAATAAAGACCTTTTTCTTGTCCTTAATACTTGTCCACCACGTTTAGAACCTAAGGCTTCAGTGACCTGAAGAGTGAATACTTCTAGGAGATGAAATAAAGGGACACCAGCAATACGGGGATCATTCTGTTAGAGAGGATGTGAACAATGGGTCCAGCAGGAAATAAACTACTTGCGGTTTAATTAGCAGGTGCTACTCACAAATTGTGGATGCCACAGCCAAGAAACATACCGTTTTCTTGTCCTTATGAATACTTCCACCACATTTAGAACCTAAGACTTTATGGACCTGAAGAATGACTACTTGTAGCTGACCAAATAAAGGCACACCATCAATACTGGGGCCATTGGGTTTAGGAGGACATCTGAAATGGGTCCCTGAGTTTACAAACCACTCATTGAATTTTCTCCTCAACCCACAGGTTCTAACTCCCCAGTATGGACAAAAATGATGGCACACAGTAAACCTAGCAATCCTAGGGAGCCTGACATAGCATAGGCAATCTTGCAAACTCAGAAGCTAAAAGTACCCATATAGGATGCTTTAAAGTTAAAACTTTCCAAGTAAAAGCTAGTCACAGGGGTATTTATGTCCTAGTCTGTTCTGTTTTGTGTGTGTGTGTGTGTGTGTGTGTGTGGTTTTTTAATTTTTGGCAAGGGTCAAATTTTACCTTATTGAGCCTGTCTGTTGTCTTTTTGCATCTGGGATAACATACCTTTGTGTTTTCAGGGACATTTCACTTTCTCAGACTCCTAAGAGTACAATCTCTGAACACAGATCACAGAGCCCCAATTATTATTGTTATTGTGTTAACTATTAACTGTTACCTATCAGATAAACTTAAAAAGAAGTTTATGTCTTTTTTTTTTTTTGCCTTTTGTCCAATCCCAGAGATCTTCCTCCTTAGCTCCCGCCTCCAGTTTATCACCAGTGAATGTCATATAACCCATTTATGTCTTCTTCTTTAGTCTCATGTATAAAAAAGGTGCAAAACTGCCATTCTCACAAGCAATTTATTGTTATTCTGCTTCCTGGCACTGTTACCGGCTTGGGTCACATACACTTCGGAAAATTCTCCACAAGTTTGGACATTTCTTACAACATCACCAAAAACAATTGACTCATGTGAAGCAGGAGAAAGTTACATGAAGGTTATCATCAATTCCAGAGAACTAACTGATTGAACACAGATTAATAAACACAAATTTAGAACACACTCAAAACACAGCAAGCTAGTGTTTTCCCATTGCAATAAGAGAATGGAAGAAAATTCTCAAGGCTCAGGTGACTTTGTTTTGCGTGTGTGTGTGTGTTTAATCCTTACCTGAGGCTGTTTTTTCTTTGTTTTTTCCCCTCCTATTCCTTTCCTCTGAGATTCTGTGCTCCCTTCCATGCTTCCATGTTCCTGAATCCACTCCATTCACCACTTTATTTTGTTAATTAGATTTCATATATGAGTCAGATCAAGTGATACTTGTTGTTCTCTGACTGACTGATTTCACTTGGTGTGATGTTTTCCAGGTGCCTCTATGCTGTCTGTAAAGGTAAACATTCTTCTTTTTTACTGCTGCAGAGATTTCCATGGTATAAATTTTCCACAATTTTTTTTTAAGAATTCAGTGAAGAAATGAAAGGGAGAGAGAGAGAGAGAAAAAAAAAAAAACAATGATGAGAGAGAATCATTGATTGGCTGCCTCTAGTGCACTCCCTACTGGATATGAAACCTGCAATCTGGGCATGTACCCTTGTCCTGAATTAAACCTGGGATCCTTCAGTCTGCAGGGTGATGCTCTATCCAAGTAGCCAAACTGACTTTGGCTGTATCCTAGCATTTTAATCCAGTCATCTATTGATGGGCACTTGGGCTGTTTCCACGTCTTTGCTATTGTAAATTGTGCTGCTATCACAGAAGGGAGTATATATTCTATCTTATTGTTTCAGGTTTCTTAGGATATATTCCTAGAAGCGGAATCACTGGATCAAATGGAAGTTCCATACTAATTTTTTTGAGGAAAGTCTACTGATTTTCATAATGGCTGCACCAGTTTGCATTCCCACCAACAGTGTGCTAAGGTTCCCTTTTTTCCACACCCTCTCCTGCACTTGTGTTTTGTTCATTTGTGGATGGCAGCCATTGTAAAAGTGGTGAGGTGACAGGTAATTGTTGCTTTAATTTCCATCTTTCTGGTGATCTGTGACTTTAAGCATCTTTTCATATATTTCTTGGCCATCCTATCCACACTGCAGCCCAGGCTGTGCTGACACTGGATGCCATCAGAAGCAGATGCCCTTAAGTCTGTTTTGTGAACTTTACTTTGTATAATGGATTCAATGGAGGCAGGTTAAGGCAGTTAGAGACTTGAACAACCTTGTCCAGATACATATGGCCCAAGGGAGTCACATGCCAAAAATCTGTTTTTTTTAAAAAAACATATA